CATAATTAAAAACAAACAAACTCTCCCTCTCTCTCTCTATATATATATATATATGTAGTTTTAAGTTTCCTATTTATATGGTTCTATTTATGCATGTAGTTTTAGGCTTCAGGTTTCTATTTTATTATACATAAATATAGGTTTCAAGCTCTATGCTGGAAAGTAATATATCGTGTATCTCTTACTCATAGTATATGTGGTCTCTAAGTCGGGCAACTTAAACAAAATGTTCACTAAATTCCTTAACACTCAAAATATAATTATAACAGGAGCTTTAAGTTTTCATGTAAGTTAAGTACGAAATCAATACATATAGTTTAACATAGGATGTTGATCGGTCATTACAATTTAGTGTGATTCGTTGGTTTATGGGTTATCCTGTACGTACTTGCTTTAGCGTAACGTAACGATTTTCACACACGGGTCTAGAACGTGTCACTCAGTAATCAGCTATGTCTTAAAACAACCTGACGAAACGGATATTGTTTGATTAGAAATAATTCTATCACACAAAGATAATTTTACGAAAGAAAACGCGAAAAACAACAAAATTTTGCCAAAAGTATGTAAAATGTTTCACAATTAGTACTGAAACAAACAATACAGTATATTCATGATCAAAAGCTTTTAATTTAAAACTTTCGAAATGAAACTCTATCTAAAAAGAGTAATTTATTGCAAGTTTCAACTTGATGATACTTTTGTTTTTCGTTATAATAAAATTTCTTGACTGTCGTTTTTTCTTTTTCTGTAAGACAGAACTAAAAGAAAACAGTTGTAAACACAAGTGTACCAAAATTTTAATATTTCTACATAAAAATCAAGATAAATGATTATTCACTACAATGTTACAGTCACATGAGCTTCATGAAAAAACAAAAACAACATTGGAAGCAATAAGATCTACAAAGCAGTTTTAATTTGAAACCCTCGCGTTTTTAATGTGTTATTTGAATAGAATCTGATATCACCATTAGGCATAGTTTATGCTGCTTCTTTCAACGTTTGACATAGTTTTTTTTCCGTTTAATAAGTAAACAGGTGAACTCTATATTTGACAAAAGCAACTGTATTATCCCATGTAAAGTTAGTTTGTCTAATTCAATCAATCAACACTAGTTTGGCACATTCAAAGATCGGTGGCTTCTGTGAGATTCGATGAAGTATCGTTTCTGAAAAGCATGAACAATAATTGTCTTGTTAGCAATTTTGTCAGTGATATCAATCATACCACATCCTCAGTGTTATCACAAAGAAACAAAAGTCTGTGTCAGTGTTTGGACTGGTAAGTTTCTTGGTGAGTAGTAAAGCACCTACCCAGCAGGTGCAGCATAAGTCATAATTACAAGCTCCAAAAACGTTTAATTATAACCGATTGTCAACAGCTTCATCACAATATAACACAAATCTGGATTCAAAATAATAACCTAAAACTTTCATCTTCTACAAAGTACATTTCTTATACTATCTAGAAAAGTCACGAAGTCTTGATAGATTCGCATTAGGAATTCGTCAGCTCGTCACTTAAAGGCATGCTATCACCATCAGAATCAAGCATGAAATCGAGATAGTCAATCGGTAGGACACAAGGTTCACAATCAAAATTCAGACTGGACTCTAGTGACTCCAGAGACTGTCCAGAGTCAGAATGTCCTGCTGATTTCCCAGTGTCTGTTTGCTGCAAAATGTCAGTCAGAGCAGCTATGTAATTAACAGCTAAACGAAGTGTCGTGATTTTAGTCAATTTCGAACTGGATCCAGCCTTGTTCGGAATTTCAGGAACCGCTTTCCGTAGTTTCTCAAAAGCTTGGTTCATTTCTTGCATTCTACCTCTTTCACGAGCGTTAGCGGTTTTCCGACGGTATTTACTGAGTGGTGCAGGTTTCTGTTTTGGTTTTGGTATTTTCTTAGATTGTTTACGTTTTTCTGTTTCAATACGGTTTATGATGGATCGTGGGCGAAGTTTATACTTTAGGTTTGTTAAGTCTTTTCTCTCTTCAGCGTTATTTGTGAATTCTCCATTGTTCTCTGGATTTGATTGTGATTGACTCAGGATATCAACCTCCTTAGATATGTTTGTGTCCAGCACGGCCGAACTAGAACTTGTGCTGTTCCCAGAATCACCAACACATAGATTTGAAGACTGGGCCAACATTTTGTTCCCGCTATCATTTATTGTTGTTGTAAAGTTAAGAAACGATTCCCACGAATCTGGATCAAAGTCTACCACATCCATAGACATTCTGGTGCTTTTTGTAGAACCAATCAAAAATACAAAAAAAACTCCTTATTTTGATAGATAAAATAGGCTTAATAACACAAAATAGCTACAAGTAATTGATTTTAGATATAAATACAAATATCAGGAAATTTCAAGAGAAAGACTCCATCTGTTGGCTATAGCATGAAATAACAGCAGTCTCCTTCAAATAATAGTTGGTAATAACTTGTAAATAACTGTGCCTTTCAGAAAGTTCAAGGTCTAGTCCTTAAATTTGCTCCTCGAACTCGTGCAAAATAATTTTTGTTTCTCATAAATCACTCAATTCGATTCTGTTTCACTATAGTTTCATAATTGACTTTGTATTTTAATTCAATTTTGTCCTATATGTAGCAGTAGATAAGTTTCCAATTTGGATCTTCATATGTTTGTTGAAGTGCTGAACGATACTACTTGATTAAAACTGACGACATCAATAATTTCAGTTAAATAATCTTGGTCACACATTATAAAAATTTAAACTATAGATTGGTGAACAAAGAACATTACACCTAACTGATAAGAACTCAGCTTTAATTATTTCCAGCTTTTGGGAAACGCACACGAACTCACATTAATCTATTCAGGATATTCTAAGAATGTAACCATAAATTGAAGGCACTAATCAGTTGAGCCCTGAAGATGATATTGGGTTTACCAAGTAGAAGCAGAGGTAAAGTGCTATAAGTGTTCTCCAATATAGCACTTGAAAAATGTCGTGAAATTAGTTGCCTTGTCGGTTTTCAGAAAAGGAAATCTCCTAGTGGTGGATGGTAGGATGTGCACCTAGGTAACAATGTCGTGAAATTAGTTGCCTTGTCGGTTTTCAGAAAAGGAAATCTCCTAGTGGTGGATGGTAGGATGTGCACCTAGGTAACAATGTCGTAGAAATTAGTTGCCTTGTCGGTTTTACAGTAAAAAGGTAATCTCCTAGTTGGTAGGTATGGTAGGAATAGTTACGGTCCAAGGA